TGTCCTCTCTCGCCGTGTCCTCTCTCACCGTGTCCCCTCTCACCATGTCCTTTCTCCCCATGTCCTCTCACACTGTGTCCCCTCTTACCATGTCCTCTCACACCGTGTCCTCTCTCACCATGTCCTCTCTTGCCGTGTCCTCTCACACCGTGTCCCCTCTTCCCATGTCCTCTCACCATGTCCTCTCTCACATGTCCTCTCTCGCCGTGTCCTCTCACACCATGTCCCCTCTTCCCATGTCCTCTCTCACCATGTCCTCTCTCACCATGTCCTCTCTTCCCATGTCCTCTCTCACCATGTCCTCTCTCACCATGTCCTCTCTTGCCGTGTCCTCTCACCATGGCCTCTCTTGCCGTGTCCTCTCATCATGTCCTCTCTCGCCATGTCCTCTCTCGCCGTGTCCTCTCACACCTCGCCCCTTCCCCACTGTGCACTCTCCAGGCTTCGGCTCTTTCGTGGACAAGACAGTGCTGCCCTTTGTGAACACACACCCCGAGAAGCTGAAGAACCCGTGTCCCAACAAGGAGAAGGAGTGCCAGGCCCCGTTCGCCTTCCGGCACGTGCTGAAGCTAACCAACAACTCCAACCAGTTTCAGACGGAGGTCGGGAAACAACTGATTTCTGGGAACCTGGACGCCCCTGAGGGCGGCCTCGATGCCATGATGCAGGTGGCGGCCTGCCCTGTAAGTGCCCCCAACCCTGGTCTCTGCTCCACCTACCCGGGAGCCTTGGGGACAATGCAGGCTGCTCACATGCCCTCTCCAGTGTGGGAATGCCCTGGGGCCCTTGAGCCCCCACCCCCACCCCTGTGGTCTTGCTGGGGGTTAGTGCTCATTTTGTATCGACAATATTTCCTAGGTCATAAACACGCGCATGTGTGGTCTTTGTACATGCTGCCTCTGCTCTGGGATTAGTTTCTTCAGATGTATTGCAGGGTCTGAAATGCTGCACGATAAGGAAGCCGTAGGAGCCCTGGTAGCACAGGGAGGCTGGGCTGGGCTGCTCTCCGAAAAATCACCAGTTCGAAACCGCCAGCTGCTTGGCGGGTGAAAGAGGAGGTTTCTGCTTCCATCAAGAGTTCCAGTCCTTGAAACCCACAGGGGCAGCTCTACCCCGTCCTGCAGGGCCGCTATGAGTCAGCATCACCTCGGTGGCAGTGGGTCTCTGAAGGAGGACGTATCTTTTCTCCAAGCGTGACCGTGCACATCAGGGTCCCTCACCCTCACAGGGCTCCCTGGTTGGCAGGCCATCTGTGGGCTGGACAGACATTACTGAAGTATAGATCAGAAGCAGCCTGGTGGGCTGGCTCGCTCTCCGGGTCCTCCTGCCTGAGAAACCAGGCTTAGGAAGGGGATTGGTGCCGGCCGGAGGGCCGAGCCCGGGAGACTGAGTCAGACCTCGGCTCTCTCTCCGCTAGGAGGAAATCGGCTGGCGCAACGTCACGCGCCTGCTGGTGTACACCACGGACGACGGCTTCCACATCGCCGGGGATGGGAAGCTGGGCGCCATCCTGACCCCCAACGACGGCCACTGCCACCTGGAGGACAACCTGTATAAACGGAGCAACGAGTTTGTGAGTCCTTGTTGCGCTGGGTCTCCGGCGCTGCCCGACCAGACGCGCCACTGGCCTAGCACCGGGCAGCAACGCGAGGAGAGGCCTCCCCAAGGGGCCTCCCACACCCTTAGCCGCTCCGTGCTGGGCCGGTCCCTGAGGGTCCGGGTGATGGTGGGGTCATCACAGTAGCCTGGGAGCCTGTGCCCCGGTGCTCTTCAGAGCGAGGTATATGAATGAGGCATCCCCAGGTGCCTGGAGCTGGGCAGTGCAGGGTCACTGCGTGAGAATCCTTCCCTCCCAGGAGAGAGCAGCATGCAGGTGTCCACCCCCAACACCCTCAGCCTACACAACAAGTCCTCGTGGTTAGTGGATTCCATGCTGCAAATTGCCCTGTGCGCTAAAATGCATTTGCTAGGGCCCCCAGATCCACAGTGGTGCCACTCCCGGGGTCACTCGCATGTGCACAGAGCAACCAGAACTTGGGGGCTCCTGCTGCCCCCAGCTGAGGGTGAACCAGCTCTCTCTCCACGGGTGTGTTAGTCCAGGTAGACTAGAAAAACAAATTCATAGAGACACATTATGTGTATCAGAAAGAGCTTTATATTAAAAGCAATTGAATATTGAGAAAACATCCTAGCCCAGTCCAGATCTAGTCCATAAGTCCGATATTAGCCCGTATGTCTGATACCAATCTATAAAAGTCCTCTTCAGACTCATGAAACACATGCAATGACACCAAATGCAGGAAGATCACAGGCCAGTGGGTGGGAAGTCTTGTGGATCCAGTGGCATCGTAAGCCTCTCAGCACTGGCAGGGGTCTCTGCGTGGTTCCTTCGGCTCAGAAACTGACTGCCTCAGGGTAGCTTCATGTGGCTTCTCCTCAGAAATGTCTCCAAGGGAGTGAGCAGAGAGAGTGTGTCTCCTGCCTCCAAGGAGGAATGCCGGAGTTCCCAGAATCCTCAGGAGAAGGCCATGAGGCCTCATGTGCTATCACCTGATTGACAGACTAGACTCCACCCTTTCACTCCCCATCCCTTCACATTGACGAAGGATTATGTAACTACCGCGACTGGTAAACAGCCACCCCCTGCGCACGCACCTGGCTTGGGGCCACACTGGGCTGGTCATCTTGGGGTGTTGTTCGTTGGTGACTTTTCAGCTCACAAGGCCCTCGTGGCGGTGTCCGGGGATGGATTCGGGGTACAGAGAGTTGTGAGGTGCCTGACGCCGGCAGGAAATGCTGCAAGGTTGAGATGCGCCCCGTCCTGGCCCAGGTTCCAGGGCCGCTGGCCAGGAATTAAAGGCTAAGGGAGCAGCGTCCTGTCTCACATAGAGACCGAACCCTACAGAAAGCAAGGCCGCCTGCCAGGCTGTGCTTCCCCACCAGCCACGGCACCTGTGGAGCTCACCAGGCCCAATGGCTACTGGGGCCAGCGGCGGACCTGAGGCTCCGCCATCCCAGAAGCCTCTGCTCTGGGCACTGCAGAGCTGGCTCCCGGCGTCTTCACCTGGGGGCCTGCGTGTGGACTAGGGGTGGGGGCAGTGGAGAGACTTGAGGGGCCCCCGAATGCACAAAGAAAGCAATTCAGCCACGGTGGTGGAGCGTAGGGAACACCCCACGTGGTGTGGATAGGACCTGAGTTCCTGGCCTCGATAAAAGTTAAGGGGCTCCCCTTACAGCTGTAGTGACTGCGGCTCAATCCACTCTTTGCTGTGATTGAGACACGTGGTATCATTCTGAATAGCTTCCAAATTGTGGCCACGTGATTGGTCTGGCTTCGCGACCTTCTTTAAAGGAGCGCCGGTGGTGTGGTTACGCTTTGGGCACGGCCGGCAGTTCAAAACCACCAGCTGCTGCGAGGGAGACAGTCTGGGTTTCTGCTCCGATCAACAGTCACGTCTCAGAAATCCACAGGGCGGGCTTGCAGTCAGCACTGACTCGGTGGCAGAGAGAGGTGGCACATGGGCCAAGTGCTGGGCTAGAGAAAGGCCGGTGATCCCAACCAACCAGCTCCTCCTCCTCCCACACAGATGGCAGCGTAGGAGACCCCGGAGGTCGTTCTCCTCGGTCACACGGAGTCACTGTGAGTCGGCATCCACTCAACAGCAAACAGCCCAGGGCTGTCTGTCTTTACTTTCTGTTTGTGAACATTGCCGATGGCGTACAGCCCCTGGTTGACTCTTTGCATCTTTCTTGAACATTATTTCAAGAAAGGTCCCCGTTCACCACACACGGAAAGGCTGTTGCTGACACCCTCTGGGCCCTGGCAAGAGCCAAGTGGGCTCCCGAAGGTCGTGTCCCCCTGCCCCTGGGCCGTCTGAACGGGCATCTCGCCCCTCCAGGACTACCCGTCCGTGGGCCAGCTGGCACACAAACTGGCCGAGAACAACATCCAGCCCATCTTTGCCGTGACCAAGAAAATGGTGCCAACATATGAGGTAAGCGGATGCAGGCATCTTGGGCAGCATGGGCAGGACATTTGGCCATTTCAGGGGAGTGAGGGCAATACCCAGTGTGACCACAGCCTGAACCCCACTTCCACCTTTGGGGTGTGTTGGCCTGGCTGACGTCCCCCGTGTTCCGGGGAAGACTTTTGCAACTAAGGAGTTTGGAGCCTCCTTATTGGTGGCACAACATCCGTGTGGATAAAGGAAGGATGTGTCCCCACGCTTGAAATGTGGTCACAGCCACACTTAGCGCTTGTCCGAATGTCAACTGAAATATGTCCCTTTAGACCAGACGTTCTCAACCTGTGGGCCGCGACTCCTTTTGGGGGTCAAACGACCCTTCCACAGGGGCCGCCCGATTCATCACAGTAGCAAAATGACAGTGATGAAGTAGCAACGACAATAATGTTACGGTTGGAGGGGTCACCGCCACATGAGGAACTGTCTGAAAGGGTCGTGGCATGAGGAAGGTTGAGAACCACTGCTTTAGACAATATTTTAGATTAGCAAGTAGTTTAGCATGACAATATTTTAGAGTGGCAAGTCGTTTAAATTTATGGGTCAGCCTTTTAAATTTTTAGGGCACTTTCTTCTTTTATAAGGTGCCTTAGGGTGTCTCGGGTGACAAGGTGGGCGGGTGACGGCCAGGTCAGCAATGAGAAGCCATCAGCCATTCCTCAGGAGAGCGGTGAGGCTCTTTCCCCGTGTGAAGACTTACACTCTCCGAAACACACAGGGCCGTGCTCTCTCCTACGGGGTCGCTAAGACTCGGAATCGGGGTGCTTCCTCCCGCCCCTGCCCTTACAGATACATAAATATTTGGATGGAAACATCTTTCAGGAGGCCCTGGTGGTGCCGGGGTTCATAGGTTGGCAACGATGAGTCTACCCGCCCCGTGGTTCCACGAGAACCTGTTGGTGTGGTGAGCTGCGGCATGCAGCTGCTAACTCCGAGGTTAGCAGTGCAAAACTACCAGCCACTGTGCAGGAGGCAGATGAGGCTCTCTAGTCCCATCCAGAGGGACAGTCTCAGAAACGCGCGCGTGCGGCTCTGTCCTGTCCTCTCTCTGGGGTCGCTGAGAGTCAGAACTCACTCGCCCGACGGCCAGGGTTTATTTGTTGGGGTTTTTTTTTCAGTGGTTCTGTGGAAGAAAAACCTTGTGACCTGCTTCCCTAAAAGCCTCAGCCTAGAACACTCTCTGAGGTCTCTCTGCACACACCAGGTTGCCCTAACTTCAAGGCACCCCTCAACAAAAACACGGGCTCTGTGCAGAAACGTCCCCCATCTTGGCAACGGGGGGGCTATTGACTTTCACCAAGGAGATGATCGTGAGGTCAAGAGTGGCCATGGGCCCTCCCTGCCGCCACCATCCCCTCCCAGGGACACTACCGAGTGTGTGCACCGAGAGCACTTCCTTCTTCCCATTTAACCTGGGGTCATTTTACTGCCGTTCTCACGGCATTCTTTCCTGGGCGAGGCGTTGGGCGGCTCATCACAAGATTGCCTGCTCAAACCCACCAGCCGGTCCATGGGGGAAAGATGAGGCTGCCTGAGGTTGTCAAAGGTTAGATGGCCCCAGAAACACCCTGGGGGCTGGAGTTGGAATCTCCTCGCTGGCAGTGGGTTTGGGTAGAGCCTGACACACTCCTGGGAGATACTCCTCCCTCGCCCTCCCTCTTGGCTGGTGCTGCCATGGCTGGTGGGGACTGTGGTCGGACTGTCAGACCCCTTTCCTGTGAGACCCCATGATAATGACGTCTCTGAGTGATGTCACTGGAACGGACGCCCAGGCAGGTGTGGGGAGAAGAAGGTGGGGGACTGCTCCCACCCCTGGCTAGGGGCAATCTACCTTTTAGGGTGTCCTGAGCTCCCTATCCTGGGAGTGCCACCAGGTCACCTGGTACGGCCTGCCATGTGTCACCTGGCTGAGCACAGCCTTGTGAGACACAGATGATGTAAGTGTATTAAGATGCTCGGACGTGGCTCCTCTTGCCGGTTTTCTACACTGCCCTATTATTGCAGGCCCTGGGTCTCGCACACCTACCGCATCTGTAGGGTGGCAGCACTATCCAGTGGTAGCTTCTGTGCCTGGTGACATCACCCCGGTGGCTGGAAGCCTATCAGGGTAGGAGAATTGACACCAGGACAATGAGCACAAGTTGCCCCGCAGGGATGTTCCTTCCTGAGAGCTGGTGGCTGAACTTTTTTAATAGCGCTGCTGGCGAACACAGCCTGTCTCGGTGAAATAAAATTTAAAAGTTGGAGGTTTCTGGGCTACCGCCCTCCAGGTGTTGTGGAGCCGGGTGGGTGTTGAGGGGTGCTCACTGCTGTGTGTTGGGTCCCCCTGTCTAACAGAAGCTTACAGAGATCATCCCGAAGTCGGCAGTGGGAGAGCTCTCGGACGACTCGAGCAACGTGGTCCAGCTCATCAAGAAAGCTTACAATGTGAGTCTCCCCAGCACTAGCTGGGCTCACCCCGAGGTGTGAGCTGGAGCCGGAGCCCTGGGGGTAGTGTGCAGGTCAGGAGGTGGTAGCCTGGACAGGGAGCCCAGCTGTCTGGTTGGGGCAGCAGCCCCTGCACCCTCAGGCTGGTTGAGTCTCGCGCCCCAGTCCAGTTCCTAGGTCCCATGCTGGATGAGCCGAGGCACCCCACCGTCACCTGTATCCAAAGCACGAGCTCCCAGCTACACCCATGCTCGGAGGAAGCCTGAGACACCACACAGCACAGGGGCTCCAGAGAGCTCTGACCACTTGCCCGGAGAAGAAATGTTCTGAATGTGCTGGTGGTTGTTCTTCTAGGCCAGACGGCCCAGGGGCCTCCCCGAACGATCCCATGGAGTTCAATTAGAGCCCTAAGGAAGAAATGCCCTGCACTCTCACTGCTTTAGTGAGCTGGCCCTCCTAAAGCAGTCCCCTGCTGTGCTGCTCGGTTGCCTGTTGGTATTTCTCTTGGTGCCCCTATCGCAAGCACCTCCCTTGGTTCATCCACTTGCCGTGTGTGCGTGCGTGTGTGTGTGTGTGTGTGTGTGTGTGTGTGTGTGTCTTTCCGTGTGCTTCGTCCCTCTGTCCCCCTTCCTCTCTGCCTGTCTCTCATTCATGCACACCGTGCAGCTTCTGCACTGGGACAGGCACTTAGGGCTCAGCCTGAGTGCTGGGGTGGAGCCGGGTCCCATAAGGCTCAGGCTGGTCTCCTCAGCTGACCTGGAAGCCCTTGAGGGCAGGATTGTGGTGCTGGCACCTCCCCTGTCCCTCGTGGTTTGGAGGGGCACCGACAGCAGGGTCCTTCGTCCCACCTCTCCCCACAGAAACTCTCATCCAGAGTCGTCCTGGAACACAGCGCGCTCCCCGACACCCTGAGAGTCACCTACGATTCCTTCTGCAGCAAAGGCGCCGCAAAACTGGACCATTTCCGAGGGGACTGCGAAGGCGTGCAGATCAACGTCCCGGTGAGTGCGGCCATCGGCGCTCACTGTGGTGCCCTCCAGGGAGTCTCCAGGGCCAACATCCTGGAAGGGACCGTCCACTGCGTCTTCTAAGGGGCCTCGTGAGTGTGCAGGATCAAGAGCAGGGGGCCCACTAAGGTTTCTCTCTGATGAAGCCAAAAACAAACACGTGTGGATTTATGTCAGGAGACCCTGGGTGGCACAAACGTTAACCACTCAACTCCTAGTCAAAGCGTTGGCAGTTCGAACCCACCCAGTGGTGGGTGGCTCAGAAAGAGCCCCCAAAGTGGTTCATCTCTGTCCAGGGGCCCGCTAGGAGACCGAGTCGACTCCACAGCCAACAGGGACCACATGTCTTAGATGTTGAGGCGGTGGCATGGGCACCAGCACATGTCTATTTATTAGTTCACGTGAATTGCCTCCCAGAATCTCAGAAAACCAGTGGGGCGTAGACAGAAAGTTCATAGTGATGACAACACCCCCTGGTGTCAGACCTCGGCATAGCAGCCGGGCAAAGGCTAGGCCATCGAAATGCCTCAGCTATGTGACACAATCCTGCCCTCAAGGGCTTCCAGGTCAGCTGAGGAGACCAGCCTGAGCCTTATGGGACCCGGCTCCACCCCAGCACTCAGGCTGAGCCCTAAGTGCCTGTCCCAGTGCAGAAGCTGCACGGTGTGCATGAATGAGAGACAGGCAGAGAGGAAGGGGGACAGAGGGACGAAGCACACGGAAAGGTTGTCTCCTTCTCTCTCTCTCTCTCTCTCTCTCTCTCTCTCTCTCTCTCTCTCTTGCTTTCTAAAGCAATAAGCCATAGGTCACACAAGTAATAACAATAGGCATAGGATTTTTCCTAATATTTTATAACTAAATGTATTACGCTCACAGTAATCCATATGTTCCCGTTGCTTACTGTGGGAAAGACTTGCTTTAGTTAAACGTTTGGCTAGGCCATCGAAATGCCTCAGCTATGTGACTGACAGACTATTGTGTGCACATTTTCACCGAAATGTTTTCCCTCATTCTGGGCCACCTATGTGGGGACTGGCTCAAATTTTTTCTAATGTTCGGCAGGGGGTGGGGGGGTTCTGCACATTTTGACTGACCCCCTTCTTTGTGTAATTTTGATGTGCTATATGAGAAGTTATTTAGATTTATCTTACCCACGGCTTGCTCCCGACCACCTCATGCTCCTTGAGATCCGGGACCGGCCTCCACGGTGACCGTGGGATGTGGGCAATGGGCTGTCAGTTCTATGCCTGCCAGCAGATGTCCCGGTCACCATTTGAGGTTTGGGAGCCCTGGTGCTATAGTGGTTATGCATTGACTACAAGGTCAGCAGTTTGAAACCACAGCTGCTCCACAAGGAGAAAGACAAGGCCTTCTACCTCCATAACCCTCTGCCTTCAAGTCGAGGCAACTCACAGCGACCCCATGTCCACTTCCCAAGGCTGTCGATCTTTACAGGAGCAGACAGCCTCATCCTTCTCCCTCGGAGAGGATGATGGGCTTCAACCACCAACCTTTCAGCTGCCAGGCCGACACTTACCCTGCCAGCACTGTCGGGGCTGCTCACAGCATGCTAAAGTGACTCACACGTGTCTACGTACCGAGGGAGGGAGAAAGACCGGGCTTTAGACTTCCAGAAAGGATCAATCACAGAAACCCACAGGGCCTGTTCTTCCCTGTATTTTACGGCCACCAGGAGTCAAAATGGACTCTGTGCTGTACGTTTAAAGATCTTTATAGGAAGCAGGGGTACTGTCGGATCATCACTGGACTACAAACCTTAAGATCTGCAGTTCAAACTCCCCAATTGCTCTTGGAGAGAAAGATGAGGCTGTCTGCTCCAGGGAAGATTTATAGCCTCCTCGGAAACCCCCGGACAGACTTGCTATGACTATGAATCAAAATGAACTTGACAGCAGTGAGCTTTAGCTACCTACCCACCTACCTAACTACCTACCTACCCACCTACCCAACTACCTACCTACCCACCTACCCACTTACCCAACTACCTACCTACCCACCTACCCACCTACCTACCTAC